TAACTCTTTAGAAATCGAGGTGCGCCATTAGTTGAATATTCCATGGCCCTCGCAAACTTGAAAGTGCGTAGTTGCTTTAGGCACGATATTTTAAAAATTACCTTCCTAAACTCGGGTGTGCATTTATGTGACCCAAATCCAAATCTCAACAACGTTAGATAAAATGTGTCGTGGACCGCGGGTGCATTTGTGTGACGTGGTCCAAGATGCATTTTAGGTGACGGTGAATCTTCCTAAAAAATATTTAAATAAAAGTGGTTATAAAGTTAAAATTGAACCATAGGTTAAAACATGTATTAAAATCAGATAATAAGCCAATTATAACAATTGAGCGACCGTGCTAGAACCACGGAATCCAGAAATGCCTAACACCTTCTCCCGGGTTAACATAATTCCTTACCCGGATTTTTGTGTTCGCGGACTGTAAAACAGAGTCAATCTTTTCCTCGATTCGAGATTTGAACTGGTGACTTGGGACACCATAAAATTATCTCAAGTGGTGACTCTGAATTTAATAAATAAATAATCCCATTTCAATTGTCATTTAAATTGGAAAAACTCCCTTATACTCCTTCCGAGGGGGTAGATAAAAAGGAGGTGTGACAACCACTATCCTAGCAGGAGCGACCTCGCTCCAGTTCCATCAACTATCTTAAACCTGGACCATTCACCATAAACACTCTTGCATTCATTCCGAAATTTCGTGTCTGTTCTTGCAATGACTTCATCGATATATTTTGTCAATGAATCCAGAACTACACATGGCCTGATTCCTTTAAAAACAGGGATATGTTGGCAGCTCAATGACCAGATTCCAACCTCTGTCTTTCAAAACATCCCATCCGATCAAAATTGGCCATCATTTCTTTACCCGAAAACTCTTTTCATCCTTCCCAAGTAAAGAGGGGCAGCTGTTGATACCCAATTTTTTCAATAATATTTTAAAAACTATGCCTGGGAATCAATTAGTATTTTTCATACAATTTCTGCATTTTTAAAATATTTTAACTAGTTTCTCCCAGCATTTATTTTATAAAAACAATCACTAATTGCATCACAAATAGTTTTATAATAATTTTTGTGGCTTAATTCTATTACTTGTATTTGTACCAAGTTTCAATTATTGCACAAATAGCCACATTTATATTTTTAGAATGCAACTGTAATTACTTTGCAACTATAGCCTATGCATGCATTATTACATTATTTGTCGAAACATAGCCTTTATATATTTTTTAAAATATTAAGTAATTATCTAAAATATTTCCAGGCATAAAAATCATTTTTTACATCCTATTAGTTATTTTAAAAATTATTTTATCAATTAAATAGGGTATTTAACAAATGGCCCCCTATCTTCAAACTTAGCCTAATTGCCCAGCCCAATTTTAACCCCTTATAAACCAGCCCAGAAACCCCAGGCCCAATACCCACCTGCTCGACCCAATACCCGGCAAATCCTAGTCGTTGATCATTTTGATCAACGGTCCAAATTCAGCCTTACCTAAATCAAACCTAATGACCTCCCCAAACCCTTCATTTCCTCTCCTTTCTCACACTGACATTTGATCCCTCTTCTTTCAAATGCTCTCAAGTACTAACCCTACCTCACCCTCATCGTCGTTCATCTGCTGTCGTTCATGGAGTTTCCCCACCACCATCAGACCTCTAATTGTCTCTATTATGTTGGTATGTCTATCTCTAAGGTCCTCGAGGGACCAGAGTCAGTCCACTTACACATATGGCCCTTTCTTGCCTGTTTCAGGCTGTTCCGATTCGATTTTGAGTAAGATCTTCCTATGTCGCCTTAGATCTGTGGATTTCTAAGCCTACTTCTTCATCTTTGTGTTGTTCTTCTCGAAATCCTAATTTCTTCCTGCTGAACTTCTTAGATCTATACAGATCTGAGATTTTGGACCTGTTTCACATGAATTTTACAAGAACCGTCTGATTTTCGAATGACTTTTCATTTTTTCTAAATTAGGGTGTCCCGAAAATTTCTTTCTCCAAAATGTTTGATGATTTGAGTGTTTAATCTTCTATTTCTTATGTGTTTTAACCGATTCGTAAAGGTTTGCTTTAACCCTAACTAGTTTATGCTAAAAACCCCCAAGTTTTTTGACATTTTGTTTGGTTTCTGAGTTATTTATGTACTGACTTTGTCATATGCTTTGGTTCCTATGATTTGTTTTTAGCTTAATTCGATGTCTTGTGATTTTTTTATCCTAATCTGCCTCTACTAAAGTTTTTGGTTTGACTTTTCTACTGATTCTATATGTCTATATTCATTCTGCCTATTCATGGTAAACCTATATTTTTCTCCTTAAATGAGTGTTGTTTTGAATTCTTTATTTACCAATTTGTTTCGTCAAAACCTATGTGTTGAATCCTGACTATTCCTTTCTTGCCTTATTTTGTCCGCGATACTTGCTTACTCTTTACATGATTTTCTCCTTAATTAAACCCTTGCCTATTTTTATTCTGAAGTTCTTTATTTTGGTTTGATTTGAACGCCTTTCCTTAATAAGGCCTTTGCTTCTTACTTCTTTACTCAGTTTGATTGAATTCCTTGCCTTAATTAACTCATGTCATTACTGTTGACTGATTTTCCTTAATTAAAGGAGAAGACTATGCTGAATCTTTGTGTGACTGATTCTGTAAATTTTCCTAATTGCTACATAATTGATTCTTTACCTTATTTTGTTTAACTCTTGATTACTATGTATGCCCTTACCTATTCTCACTTCTGGACACGAACAATAGTTCATAAACTACCACTTTTACACTCTAAAAAGGCTCTTTCTGCTCTCTCTGCTACTTGTGATCTCTGTTATTCTAGCCGGCTGCAAGCGAAGTTTGGAAATCGTACAATACCTGTCTTACATCTTATGTTTTCTTTCTCTAACTGGTATGCTTCTGATTAAATTTTAGAATCCAAACCTATGTGTTTATTTATTGCCTTAGTTTATCAATCCTGAGCCCATTCCTGTTTCTGTTTACTGCTTACCTAGCATGCCAAATACTGCCTTACTCAAATATGTGATTAGCATGTTTTCACTTTACTCGCTTGTTTTCTATCTTGTTTAACATGTCTTACATATGTAACTAGCCTGTTTGACTGACTATTGTTTATCTAGCATGCCTAAATTTTGCTTTTCTGTAATTAGCATGCCTACACTTGTTAATACTTGCCTAGCATGTCCATTTAAGTCCTTGCATGTTCTGCCTTACTCCTTCTAAGTTAGCTAATCTCACTACTCTAGCTGTGTTGTTTATATGTTTTCAACATGTTTCTACTGTGACCTTTGCTTCATGTTTTAGTGACCTGCACTATATCTAACCTATTTAGTTCTGTAGAACCCCTTAAGAACTCTATGCACCATGTTGTTTATGTGCTTCATTAAGGTGTATTCTATGTGTTCTTAAACCCATCTTTCTTTGTGTGAAAGCTGTTTGCAAAAGTACTTCCTAAAGCTTGTTTGTTCTATGACATGTGTTGTGATTGCAAATTATTTTTCATACTTTCCTCAAACTGTTTTATCACTAAATCAATACTGGTTTTCAAAAATTCTTCTCACTCCTAAGTCCTTTCTTTATATTGTCTATCAAACTCTTTCAAACCATTATGCACTCTCACTTACTCTTAGATTACTAAGTCATGCCCCTCTGGTATGTGTACTACTTAGAGACCCTTGAGATTTCTTTGAACTCTGGCATATCAGGGCTGGCACTTCCACACTGCATATAAATCAATCATTATTTGAGAAAGGTCTAGGTGTGATCACTGCTCGGGATCCTTGAGGTCCTTAGGGAACTCTGACACACCTAGATATGAAATTGCCTAGGAAACTTTGGGCAGTTGAGACTACTGAAGGTAGGGAAATTGCTTCGGGCCTGCTTCAGGCTCCATATAACCTGCTCCACTACATATAATTAGAGATCATGCCTATAGGATTTAAAATCAGCTTTAATAATTAGAGATCATGTCTATAGAATCTAAATCAGCTTTAATTATAGAAATCATGCCTATAGGATCTAAAATCAGTTTTGTTCAGATTTAAAATCTGTTTAACTTTAACTTATACTTGTAGTTTTTGAATCGGTTTAATTAACCAACCTACTCGTTCTTCAATGCTGTGTTAGTTAATATCACTAGAAATCATGTCTATAGGATCTTAATTGTCCATTTAAAATCGTTTACTGTTTTACTGCATTCCTGATCAATGATTAGATACCATGCTCATCGGATACCACTATTACCCGCCTAGGCAAGCCTATAGGGCGACTAAAACTCTTCAAACTATAAAACTACGCTCTATTATCTGTGACTGCTCATATTCAATAGGTCTAAAATCAGTAGGCAAACTGAATAGGTCTTTGACACTTTGGTCCTAACTCAATACTGCATATTCTATACTCACCTAGATATCCTGTTCTAGGGCTTCTTTTTAAATACCTGAAACTGTGTGTAAGACGTGCACTTGCCTGCTCTGTTTGTGGAGGTAAAACTTGAGCCTTTAATTGTTCTCTTTTAGTCCAGTCCTAATTGTTTTGATTGTCGCCTAGATTTTTCTCCTTTTAGTACCTTAGGATGGTCTAGAACTACCCAAACCAGAGGTCCTAAATACCTCCGGGCCACAAGGAAGGGACAGGAAGTGCACGCATAGATATCCTTTAAGGTTACTAGAATGCTTTATGCTATGACCAAGGGGGAGGGAATTCGGTAGTAAGGATATGATGACTGCGCGCTAATGTCACGTGTAGCCCCTCATTGAGGAGTGATTACNATGTGAAAACATGCCTTTATTTGTGAATATGTGTTGAAATTGTTTACTTGCAAAATGATTAATTCACATAGTTTTAATTCAGCCAGGACCCACCATTGTGGACCGCGAGGGGTGCCTAATACCTTCCACTCAAGGTTATTTAGAGCCCTTACCCTAATCTCTGGTAATGCAAACTAGTTCATGAGTTAATTTCTCTAGGTGCCCTAACGCACCATAATCCGTTAGGTGGCGACTCTTCACATAGCCAAATTTCCAAAAGGAAACGAGTTATTCTCCCCATGAATGTCGAAATCCGAACTTCACCATCAAAAGGGGTAAAAAGGGGGTGCGACACAGATTTTGCAGGTGACAAAACTGATAGGAAAAGCACTAGTGGGACGTGTCAACTCTTGGGAAATGCATTAGTATCTTGGCATAGCAAGAAACAAAATTGTGTTACCCTATCAACGACTGAAGCAGAATATTTAGTTGTCGGAAGCTGTTGTACACAAGTTCTATGGATTATGCATCAACTTCTCGACTATGATTTATCTCTTACCTCTACTCCTATATTTTGTGATAATACCAGCGCTATTTGCTTATCAAAAAATTATGTGCATCATTCTAGAGCAAAACATATAGAAATTAAGCATCATTTTATCCGTGATCACATTGCTAAAGGTGATATTGTGTTAGATTTTATTAGTACTGACTCTCAACTTGCCGATATTTTTACAAAACCACTTTTGGAAGAAAGATTTTGTTTTCTAAGGAAAAAGATTGGCATTTTTCCAAATTTGTAAAAAAAAAGTCTTTTTACCGTGTTATGAAATATTTTATTTCCTTAAGTATGTGTGGCTTAATTAATTTTCGTGTAGGTGTAATAATTGCCTATCCATCAGTACTGCCGATCAGTCACTTTAGAAGCACCACTTCCTTCTGAACCCGCCTTTTCCTTTAACCAAGGCGACCCTTCGTTCCTTCTAAAAGTACCGATAAAAACCCTTCCAACCCTGCTACTCTTTCCATTCCTATCAAATCGAACCTTCTCACCATAGCCAAAAAAACCTCTCTTCATCCACTGTAACTAGACGGAGCCGAAGGTTTCAAAAACCCCTCAATCCTAAAGAACCTGTATACCTGGAGTCGTCTCTTGACTTAGATTTCCTCAAAACAGATAATAAGAGTAGTGAATCTTCCAAAAATCCTCCCATTAGCCAGAAAAATGCAGGCAAAAGACCTATGGAGCAAACCCCCAAAAAGTCTGCATGCAAGAAAGGAAAGGTAGAGAACACTAAATTTGGACCTGAGGATAAGTTAATCTTTTATGGCCCGGGTGAAAAAGCAAGGTTTGAGTCCTTCAAGTCAACATCTATGGCTTATGGATGCTCTGTAAGTCTTTCTCTCATGAAAAATATGCACTGTGATGTGACCTCTATATTTGATTTTCAACATCTTTCTTCTCTGTTTGACACTGTTGGTAACTCTATTTATAAGGAATCTGTGAGGATGTTTTATGCAAATCTATTTGTGAATGACAAAGATGATTTGGAATCTATAGTGCTAGGCCCTATAATTGTTCTAGACTCTTATTAATTTGAAAAGATTTTCTCTACTAAGTTTAGTGGGTTTGATACTTTTGTACAAAATTCTTGGCCAAAAGATGTTGAAGTATCCTTTGAAGAAGCAAAAATCTTTTTATCTGATAACCCTCGTGATATTGGCCCCAAGAACCTAAAGTTTGAACATCGTGTCTTGGCCCACATGATTGCTACTACTTTACTCCTCAGAACTAGGACCCTTAGCTCTTTATCCACTAGAGATGTTTTTGTCCTTTACTGTCTTGTTAATTAAAAGATTGGATTCGTTTATGTGGATTCGCAGTACATGCTTGAAAGTGTTAGGGACATATCTTCCTCCGCTGCTTGTGTACCATATGGTCTACTCATCTCACACATTCTCGAAGTTAAGAAGGTAGACTTGGCACCCTTTATACCCAAGCATATTTCCAGCACTTATGATAAGACAACCTTTTCAATGATGGGGTACACCTTGGGTAATGATGGATGGGTTAAGCGCACCAAAGTTGAAAGTATTACAGTGCCAGTTGAAGTTCAAACTGAACAACCAGCATCTCAGTCGACTACCTCTCAATATCTTCAGCAGATGCAAAAATATTTAGATGAGGTAAAACAGCTAGTAGTTGAGATGAAGGAACAAGTAGATAAGATCAGAGAAGTCACTAAGGAGACAGGTATAGATGTGGCTAAGATCAGAATAGATATAGGAGCTACGCGGAGACAAGGAACCAGGACATTTAATTCTATAACTGAAAGATGGATAAGCTTGTCAAAGATGTCGAGAATTCATATGACTCCTTCTGCACCAAAGTGATCAACACTCTCAAGTACTTCCTAGGAAGAAACTAATGTGCATTTGTGTGATGGTGTCCAAAAACAATATTTTTTTCTTTTCTTGTTTTTTGTTCACTTGCTGGTGGTTCTAACAAATTTTTCTTTTTGGGTCTGTATAACCTATGCCTCTACTGAAGGCATTATTTTTGCTGCACTATCTCGCTAGTTATTATGTATACTACTTCCTATATTACTTGTCTTGGCTGTTTTTTTTCCTTTTGATTGTTGTCAAAGGGGTAGAATAGAGAAATAAATAGGTAGAGAAGTAATTCAACCTCTCAGGGGGAGCAATTCAACTCAACTCAGGGGGAGCAACTTGGAAGTGAAATAAAAAGGGAAGTCTCTTAATTAATGTCTCATAATTAATGTTTACTCTTGTCACACCTCCTTTTTCCGCCCCCGCGAGGGGTGAAGGAGTTTTTCCAATTAAAGGACAATCGAAACGGGATTTGTTTATTTGTTTCAGAGTCGCCACTTGGGAGATTTTAGGGTGTCCCAAGTCACCAATTTAATCCCGAATCGAGGAAAAGAATGACTCCATATTACAGTCTGCGTACCAGAAATCCGGATAAGGCTGTTAACCCGGGAGAAGGTGTTAGGCATTTCCGAGTTCCGTGGTTCTACCACGGTCGCTCAACTGTCATATTCGGCTTATTTATCTGATTTTAATACAATTATGAACCGGTGTGACAATTTTAACTTTTTACCACTTTATTATTATTATTTTTAAAAGAATGTGAACATCGCTTAAAACACGTCTTTGGACTGCGTCACATGAAATGCACCCACAATCCGGAACACATTTTATTTGATGTTTTGGGATTTGGATTTGGGTCGCATGAAATGCACACCCAAGCTTAAGAAAGTAAACTATTAAACATGCGCCTAAAGAGACTATCGCGTTATTATTTTGGGAAGGCCGTGAAATTCGCTAAACGGCCCTCCCGAATTTTAAGTAATTAACTCATATATTTTTGTGAGGGCCCCGCAATCTGTGCGTTTTTATTTGGCGAGGCTCGTCTCATTTTATTTTAAAAGGGTAAGCTTAAAGTAACTACATTTTTACTTTATTTATTTAAAGAGTTAATTCAAGGTTATTAAAATATATTGCAAGACACGCTACATGAAATGCACCCGTGAGTCACGACACGTTCTATTTAACCGTGCGGGAAATTAGAATCGGGTCACACGAAATGCGCCCCCGGATTTTAATAAATAAAAGAAAATCAATTTAAAGGACGCGCCTAAATCAAGTAGCGCATTTGACTTATTTTCCTAATCTTTGTGATGCCAAATTTATGGACAAGATGTTACTACTAATGAATTTTTCTTCCCTAAACTTAGAGATACGAGATCAATTTTATCACTAAGTGGTAGAATAATTATTTACAATTACCTTGGGGGAAAACGTGGGCTAACCTGCTACACACAAAGACATAATTCCTTTATCTTTTAAAAGAATGCACGAGCAAACAATTAAAGTAAACACAAACAGAATAATAAATAGACTAAAAATCATTTAAAAGAGTACAACATATCCAAACAAACAAATTAGTAATCCAAAGAAAGCATATCGATAGTGGCGTAACAATAGTGCCGTGAATCACTGCACAAACCAACACTCCTGAGGCATTTACTGGTGCCAATGTCTTTCATATCATTTAACAGGTGAATAGCAAAGACCAAGAAGAGTGAGAAACGGACCTCAAATGGCGACAATGAGAACCTCGGACAGAAAAACGGAATGCTTCGCCGGAGCCTCAACGAAGCTCGACCAAACCTCTTCGAACTCGGCTACGACGGACACCTCGGCTCAACTTCTTGGACTTTGGACTGAAACGCTCGACTTCAACACAAGGTCAAGCAGCTCACCTCTATGAAATCCTGTTCAGTTGGTGGGCGTGAGGATGGGGAAACAACCGCAGTGCTGCTTGGCGTGAAGCTGACGGGTCGTTTGGTGGTGGACGCCCGGAGCTTGGCGTCGCTTGTGGTCGACGAAGGAAGTTTGGACAGGAGGATGGTCGATGATGCAGCAGTGGTTGCTGCTGCTCAAAAAATGAGGGGTGGTGGGTTATGGAGGTGTTCGTGGGTGATGGACGACGGTGGGAGTTGGGGCTGGTTATGGCGACTGGGTNTGGACAGGAGGATGGTCGATGATGCAGCAGTGGTTGTTGCTGCTCAAAAAAATGAGGGGTTGTGGGTTATGGAGGTGTTCGTAGGTGATGGATGACGGTGGGAGTTGGGGCTGGTTATGGCGACTGGGTCGTTTGGATGGAAACAACGACGGAGGGTTGTCGATGGGATGTGTATGGTGGTGCGCGGTTCGCTGGCAGTTTGGGCAGTAGGGTCGAGGGGCAGTGACGAAGAGGTTTGGAGGGGTGACGACGGGAAAGCAGCAGCAGTTGCTGCTTGATAGAGGCTGAGGCATGGGGGTCGTGGCTGGTTCAGCTACTGGCTGGACTACGGGAGAAGGGGGGGCTGTTGGTGTGACGGAGGGAACCTTTGGGGTGGTGGTCTCAGGGACTGTTTGGATGGATCTGGTTTCAATGGAGGAAGAAGGCGAGATACTGGTTTTTTTCCGGCCAGTTATGGGGTCGTTT